CTCAGGTGGGGGGGTGGCTCCCCACCACTGCATGCACTCCGGGGAGGGAGGGGCAGAGGGGACCCATGTCCCCCAGATCTGCGCGTGGGGTGGGAGCAGAGTGGGGGCGGGCTGCCAGCTGCAGGCTCCGTCTCCCTGTCCTGCTGCCTTCCCCTGGAGCCTCCACAGGCTGGCAGGTGGGGCCAGCACAGCACAGCACAGCAAGGCTGGGCAGGGCAGGGCAGGGCAGGGCAACTCTTTGATGCTGCAAGCTCTGTGCTGCCCTGGTGATGTGCCCCCTGCCCACCCTGCAGCAGTAACAAGCACAACCTCACACCACCACTCCCACTGCTGCTGGGTGTACAGGGGACACCTCACCAGGGCAACATGGGACTTGCAGCAGCGACAACGAGTTTCTCTGCATGGCCCCACTTTGCCCAGCTGTGCCAGGTCCCACCCACTGGGCTGTGGAGGCCTTGGGAGAGGGCAACAGGGCGGGGAGTCCAATCCCCCAGGCAGCCCACCCCTGCCCCCACCCCATGCACAGATCTGGGGGTACATGTACCCCCTGCCCTCCCGGGATTGTGCACAGCAGTGGGGAGCTGGCCCTACCCCCTCCACTCCCTGGAAAACTGCTCACAGCCCTGTCCCACTCCCCACCAAGTTCCTACAGCTGCGCATTGTAGCCCAGGGCCCCAAGCCCCACATACCACCCGGCTGGGCAGCAGCCCCAGCCCCAACCCTGCCCTGCCCAACTTCCTCCCTCCCTCTCCCCTTCACCTCCACAACTTATCTGCAGGAGCTGCTCTTCAGGCTGCCTGGTGACCCTGTGCATGTACATGCACACGGTGCCCCCTGCCCAACTGCCCTCCTCCCACTCCCCTCAGCCCCCTGCAGGCCGGAACTCTGCCAGCCTGCAGAAAGCCCTTTGCAAAAGAGCAAAATCCATGTGTTCCTCTGTTAAAACAAAAAGTCTGTGTTTTTCTTGTGTAAAAGGGAAAACCAATGTTTTTTTCCCTTTTCCCATGGGAAATGGAAAACTGGACCCCTGGTCATCACGTTTGTGACAGGGCACTTGGTGCACCTGTCACTTTGAGAGAGAGCTTGTGCCTGCGAAGCAGCCTGCAGGTATGGCATGGGGGCTGATTAGGGAGTCAGCTGACTAGGAAGGGGCAGGGACTGAGGCACATAGTCCAGGGCCTAAGCTGGCCTAAGCGCCACTGGGAGAGGAGCTCCTGGTAGCAGGGCTGCAGCAGGACTCTGGATAAGCACCACAGAGCCCAGCACTCGAGGAGGTCTAGCCAGGCCTTGGGACAGATAGGCCTGGGAGCAGAGGGGCCAGGGGCCAAGCACGCAAGAGAAGCAGGTCAGGGTTTGGACGAGATGGGCCTGGGGACAGAAGTATGGCCCAAGGGGGTTGCTGGTAAATGACCTGGTGATAGTGAAAGGGACAGAAGGGGAGGTATGGTTAATGGAGGTCCCTACTGGCCCAGCGAGAGAGACAGAGTGAGGGGCCAAAAGGATATATGGCCTGGAGCCCAGAGGCAGAGAGCCTGAGCCCCTTGAGGGATGCAGTGTGGGGTCAAGGCAGGCCTTGGAAGGGATAGGGCTGAGGTTCACAGACAGAGACTTTGAGCCCAAAAACAGGACTAAATACTTGGGAGAGAGTCTGGTGTCTGGGGGAGACCAAGAGAGTTTGGTGCCTAGGGAAGACTAGGAATGCAAGAGAGTTCGGTGCCTGTGGGGAGGACCAGGAGGGTCTGGTGTCCAAGGAGGACTAGTCCAGTGCCTGGGACCTAACAGAGGGCAGAGCATCAGGCTAGTAGCCTGTAGTCCACAACAGGCTAAGTCAGTAAATCACCTGCAAGGCTTGGGAGTGGGTGCTGGGGAGGATGGAGCCCACAAACTAGCCCTCAAGGCAGGAGGGCAAAATGCAGCCTGGGGGCTAGATATGGCCTGCCAGGCCATTCTATCTGGCCTGCGGGGCCCCTAAAAAATTTAGAAAATTAATATTAATCTGACCTGGGCTGCCTGTCATGTGGCCCTTGATGACTTGCCGAAACTCAGTAAGCGGCCCTCTGCCCAAAATAATTGCCCACCCCTGCCTTAAGGCAATGACCACAAACACTCATGATCATAAGAGTAACACCAGGCTTGGGAAGCCGAGGGATCAGCCTCCCTTTCATCAGCCATTAATAATATCAAGGCATGGTGGATGCGTAACAGGGGAGGGCTCCAAGGGGAACCATGTTGGCAAGTGCAGAAAGGCCACCAGGGGGCATTATGAGCACTTCTAGGACTACAACCTTATCTGAAAATCAGAATGTTTTCACTACAAGTGACTCCAGGTTTCAGTTCTTCAGGTGCTAATTATAATAAAAGGTTCCAATAATAACCATACTTTGCTTCCATAACATATGCTTACTTAATGTCCACAATAAGAAAGGGCTCCTTCCCTGAACCTTCTTTTAAAGTGAACTGATATAAATTTCAAGGGGAAAATGTGTGTCTAATGTGCCCAACATCACGAGTGGTTATTTCTAAGATTCCTGACATTAACAGTGTGAGCAAACATCAGTTCACCCACCAACAAGAAGAGCAGCATAGAACATATGCTACACCCCTCCTGCTAGGAGTTCAGACTACAGTGAAATATGACGTGGAGACAACAGGACAAGCTCTTCCTTCCTAAGTGAAGTCCTTTCTATTTTTACTGGAAGTCCTGTATAGAAAGCTGCCTGACATATGTACCTGACAATTGTTGATCCGACAGCTGCTGGTCCTGAAACAGGCCTCCTGGGCTGGCAGCTGAAACTCTTGTCAGTGTTGTGCCTCCCTTCTGCTCTTGCTGATGATGATTCACATGCAGAAGAGGCGCTGCGCTCACTCAGACCCGCAAGCTGCTCACCCACCAGCTGGGCTGCTGTCTCTGAGCTAGCCCTCGACAGGCAGCGCTGCATCACCTGCACTTGCTCTTTTGGATTGGGAATTTTCAGGCGCCGGACTCGGATGTCCCTAACTTTCGAGGGTTTGGCATCCAGGCTCTGCATGGAGGCGGGAGAAGGACACTTGGGAGGTGAGGGCACTAGGCAGAAGTTCAGCCTGGATGACAGCCCACTTTCCAGAGCGTGCAATGAATCTGAAACACAGTGGGAAAGCACACTGATTGATAGGTATTGGTAGGTCACTTAACTCCTAAAGGAGCAGACAAATCACTGCTGAAGTCAATGGGAAGACTCCTGCTGACTTCAACAGGCCTTGTATTGTGGAGTGGGTGCTTCCACTTCCTCTTATGGCCAATGAAAACAAAAGGCTCTTTGCCCTTCTGAGGATGGGCTCCAACCCAGTGAAGTGCGAGGCATAAGAAAACAGCAGAGCTGTGGGCTTTTATTTTTTACCAGAGAAGTGTAGAAACAAATTTCCAAGATCAGCATAAGAATAAAAGGAAGTGCTTAGCTGTTAAAAACATTTTCCTGCTAAAAAAGACAAACCAAGTTGCCCACCGGATACTCTTTTTGCAATCTGTGATTTAATCCAGATAACCCTCAGGCGCCATCTACCTACATGGAAGGAGAATACTGGGCGTATATACATAAAATGCTAAAGTTGCAGCAGACTAATTCTACTGTACATTAGCGCAGCAGGCAAAACCTGTACTAATGTGCATATGCACAGCAGAATTAGTCTATTGTGCAATAACATCACAAAAAAAGCATGCGCTGGTGCCAATGTGCAGGAGCGCTGATTAGGGCACATTAAGTTAGTGCTTGTAATTACAGGTACTCAACAAGCCATAACTACAGTGCATTAATGAATGTCTAGATGCACCCACTGAATCCTGCTGCTGATGTATATACACAGCAGCATGCGTGTGTATGTTTGTCCCTAGAAACGTTCTATATATAGCAGAGATCTGGTTGCTAACGACTATAAAAAAAATGAACTGTACCTAAGTGGCAGATGCAGAAGGTTCAGGCTAAGGGCATACAATCAAAAGAATTGAAAGAGGAGCTGCATCACACAGCTCCATAGCAGAAACACAGCTTGACATGTCCTGTCAGGAGTCAGCTTACTTTGCCTCTTAGATGACTCTGATGTAAAGCTTGTATTGAACAATTTGCATCACACTGTTTGATTTAAAGTATCTGATGATAATGTACTCTTTGCTTCTTTTTTAGAGCAGTAATGTACTTGGCTTCTTTCAAAGCCTTTTGAGCCTTGGCTCAAATTGGGTGACCAAAACAACTTCTAAACTGCAAGTCTTTTAAACTGGTAGTCAATGAGACTCTGACTGCTCAAACACTTGCACATAGGAATAATGTTCCAGATGGCATTTCATTACAGTTGATGGGACTTTTCCCTGTAGAAAGTGTAGGACCCTGATTCCATAAAGGAGAAAGAAATCAAGTTGTTCAGGCATGACTTGCTCTTAGTGAATCCATGCTGGCTGTTCCTAATCCTCTTATTCTCCTCCAGGTGCTAAAAAATAGATTTCTTGATGAGCTGTTCCATGGTCTTTCCAGGTATCAAGGTCAGGCTGACTAGTCAGTAATTCTCTGGATCCTCCTCCTTCCCTTTCTTAATGATGGGCACCATATTTGCCCTTTTCCAGCCATCTGGGACCTCACCTGACTTTCACACGTTCTTAAAGAGGATAGAAAATGGATCTGAAATTATATCTGTTAATTCCTTCAATACTTTATAGTTTGTCCCATCTGGCCCTGCCAACTTGAAAGCATCTCACTTATCTAAATAATCCCTAAACTGTTTTTCCTCTACTCTAGGCTGCTTGTCTCCTTTTCTATCTTTGCTGCCAGCTGCACTCATCATCTGGTGGCTGACCTTATTTGTGAAGACTGAAATAAAAAAAGCCTTAAATACTTCAGCCTTCTCTGCATCATCCATAAGTAGAGTGCCTTCTGCAGTCAGCAAGGGACCTACACTTTTCTTGGTCCCTTCTAACATACTTGTATAATCCCTTTTTATTGTCTTTTACATCCCTTGCCATGAACACATATACCAACTTATTCACTTTCAAAATCCCCTTGGTCAAGCTCTTGGTGTACTATGATGTTCTCGCAATTGTATATTAAAAACAAAGAGGAAAAGCGAAGAAACAGCTTCCTTAACAAAACCAGGTGCGGGATGAAAACTGGGTTGAATGAAGCAGCCTGTTTCCTATTGTCAGAGCCCTGTGAGGGTTTTAGAATTCTCTCTCGATTATACACAGGACCGGAAGAATTGGATTTCTATTTTTTTAAATGATAATAAAGTGCAATGTTTATTTCCAAGTACAGGTTTCCCTCGCTTTATGCGGGTTCTGCTTGTGTGAATTCACTCTTATGCAGTGACCCTTTTTATACCAAAAATTGGTTATATGTGAGGTAAATTCACTCTTAGGCAGTCGGTGTTGTGGAAGCACGCAGTCAACTGCTTTGTGCAGTGCATTGTGAGTGTGAAATGCACCAAAATAGTCTCCTGTACGGATCTGTGCTCCTCACTCGTTGTCTGTGTTTCTGTAGTTGCCATCCCCACTACGATAATGCCCTGTGCTGGCATGTACTGTCTGCTGTTGGTGAGTATGTACACAGGAAAGTTGTCACTTGGGATTCTGGATGCTTTTCAATAACAGAGCTGGCCATCATTGATTTTTTAGTTTTGTAACCTCGAAGTTAGACTACTGCAATGGGCTATATATAGTCTTGAAGAGCATCCCTGTCTGAAGGCTGCGATTTCTGTAGAATGCACAGCTTGCTTTTTGGTAGGGGTGGGTCACCAGGAACACATTACTCCTGTGCTCTAGGGTCTCCACTGGCTTTTGAGCAAAATTCAAGGTGCTGAATTTTTTACTTATAAAGTTTGAAATGGTCTGGGCCCTGCATACCTAAGCACTACCATCTCCCTTCTATTCCATCACAATCCCTAAGGTCAGTCAAGAGCAAGCTCCTGCAAAGATGATCTGTCCGCCAAGTTCATTTGGTGAAGTTATGTGGAAGGTCATAGTCTGCAATTGCTCCTCACCCCTGGAACTTGCTCTGTCAGAACCCAAACCTAGACACCTGTCAGAAGCACCGTAGAACCTTAGTTGGGTAGGCAGGGTTAAGGTTCGGGGTACTGTTAAGGGGAACAGTTTTATTATTTTATTTCAATTTTACCTGTTTTCATTGTAAGCTGTTCTGTGCCTTTTTGCAGGGAGGGTACCATAGAAATCAAAGAGACAGTTAGCTGTGTTAGTCTGAAGTCAGGCAGAAGGCAGGGTAGTTTCGCACCTTACAAAGTAAGTCAGAGATGTATAGCATAAACTTTCATGAGCCTAAGGGTACTTCTTCAACATCTGATGAAGTGAGCTTGGACTTGAGAAAGCTTTTGCTATACACTTCTGATTTAGTTAGTCTGTAAGACATAAATAAACATACCAAGATTCAGCATTAAAATAACTCCAGTGAGGTCTTTGGATTTGTATCTGTGTAGCAGAGGTATTCACTACAAACATGTCTTTGGCTGCTTTCCTAATCAGAATGCACTAGGCCTGGTTTAACATTGCCCTATGCTAGTTCAGTATTTGTACCTGTGCAAACTGTGTGAAGGTGACTAAATCAGAAAAACAATGTTTTAGACCCACTGTGCTTTGCCACAACTCAAGCACACAAGGCAACCACATCTGGCAATTCAAGGGCCCAAGGTCCTTCTCCTGATACAGATCATCAGCGAATACAAGGTTAGCAAAGTTCCACTGAATTACACAAATTAGGAATTTGGCCTATATGTACAAAGCTAGAAGCTTTGGGGACTGTCTCTGCCCTGATTGTTCCAAAACTACTGCTCTGAAATATAGGAGGTGGGATCTCAAAAAATGTAGTTCACAATACTTCTATTTGGGGGCAAACCTAGAGGGGGTGCAGCAGCTGCACCCCTCTTTCAAACTGGAGGTTCTGGGGACTAAAAAAAGTCTCCAAAATGGAAAAGAATCTGTCCTGGGGGTGGGGGAAGCTTCAGAGCTGACCCTGCCAACTCCAGTTGAGCTGCTTTGGGGCTGGGCTCACCTACGGCAGCAGCAGTGGCTTCCCAGACTTGCTCCTGAGGAGATCAGGCAGTGGTCTCACACCCACTTCCCTATTGCTGCTGCAACTGTTTCCAGCTAAGCCCAGCCCCCATGCAGCCTGGCTACAGCAAAAAGGAGCATCTCTGAAGTTATCCCCACCTCCAGAACAGCGGGAAAGCAGCAGCAACTGGAATAGGTGGGGAGGGTGTGCCTCTGCATGAGCACAGAAGGGAAGGTAGTAATGCTTACCTACTTTGGGAACTTCAAAAAATCCTCAGAGGCTCCCCCAGTGTGGTCTGCCTGCACTGGTGGGTTGTGGGGAGCAGCCTGGGAGCAAGGATACAGTCATCCCTGCTGCATGGATGGCTGCTCCTGCATGCCACTTTACCAAATCCTGGATCTGCCCCTGCTTCCGGCAGAATTCTGGTCAACAGCTGAGCCTATTTCATAACATCAACCCTTCCCTATAAAGGGAGACGGTAAGGTGAGACCAATACCTGAGGAGGACTGATAAAGACGAGACTGGCAGGAGGAATCCAGTGAAATCTTTTCAGTGAGGTCCTCATCACAAATCTCTCTCAACTCATCCTCACAGCTGTCACTCAGGCTGCATTCATCCTCCTCCTCCTCATCACTGTGTGTTATCTTCAGCACCTGAGGGGCCTTCTCCGTCTGAATGATTTGTAGGCGCCTGACAAAAGTGAAATGCTACAGTTTGAGCTGACTGTAAAGCTATGTAGAAGTGTGCACATGTGTGTACAGCATTAAGAACAGTTCACATAGGGGTCACAGCTGCTTGAAGACAAATGTAGGCAAAGTAGCTTTATGTTTACTTTCTTTGGTATGTAATTTGCATTAAAATATGAACACTACCCATGAATCATGCACCCAATCCGCTCAGGCTTTATTGCTTCTGGTTCATCCAACCTTCAGTCAGTCAAGTGGAATGGGAGAGATTTAAGCTACCCCTGCCAGAGCAGAAGGCACATCAAAGGTGAATACACAGAAAAAAAGGCATTTTTGTCCCAAGGATAACAATTGCCTCACAGGGACATGTGGTCACCTCCACATAGCCATCTTTTCCTTTGGTGCAAGGAATGCTGGGCCAGGTTCAGACATGAATAGACCTGATACCTTGCCCATGAAAGCCAAGAAAGACACTTGGTGAAGCTCAATGTGAAGGAGTCACCATCAGCATGGAGCCATGTGTATAAGATCAAAAATCACCAAAAAGTGCTATTATCAAGTGTTGATATAAACAAAGCTCTTGGGTCAGAGGCAGTATCTTTTATTAGAACAAATAAATAATAGCAAAAAAAAATTTCACCGCAAGCTTTCAGGTACAGATACCCTTCTTCAGGCTGAGGAGAATTCAAAGATTGTAAAATTTCTCCTAGGTAGAAAAGACACTTCATTTTGCACAGGGGAGGTAGAGGATGGAAGTTTATTCCCCTGGGTACCTCAGAGTCCTTTTGTGATAGCATTGCTCTGTGATGTGCAGATTAGGCAGACTTCTTCCCTGGAGGTGTCTGATATCAGACAGGGAGGTGAAAATTTCTTCTTTCTTGGTTAGCAATGAAGTTTACATTTACAAGCTTGCAAAGAAAGAATTTTTTTTGCTACTATTTAGTTGATCGAATCAAAGATAATTGCCTCTGACCCAACAGTTTTGTTTCTCTCCATTTCTTAGACCAACATGGCTATAACATACATCCCATTATCAAATGTCAGCATTCCCCTGCAGTGCTGAGAACCTAGACACAGCACCACTTAGTTAATGCTTGGGAACCCCAAAATAAAAGGAGATCTGGATAGTTTTACAACCCATAGTCAGCAAAATATAGCAAAAAACCAAAACCATGATAAACTGTTTGGTTGCATTTTTCTAATTTTCACTCCAAATACTAAAAGGGGTATTGTGAAGAGACACACACAAGGTATGTGTGTGTGCGCAAGCATATGCATGTTCATGCATGCATGCATGTGTGTATGTGAATAGGTGTATCTAGATAAACATACAGTTAAAAAAATAAAGAAGTGAACTTTCCCTTTTTCCTGGCAGGTCTCCCATTACCATTCTGAACAATTAGATCCTATACTTAGGAAAGATTGCCAAGAACACTTGATGATGGTCTCATCCTTCTGTCATGGCAGTTAACTGTAAAAAAATCCCATTTGGATAGTTTAATGCTGCTGGTAATCCTGCCCTCCCCACTTGCTGTCTGGAGGAGCACACTGCTAGAAGCAGCAACATCCTACCCACTGGCAAAAGAAAATATATTCATTGTACTTTCTAGTGTTCATGAAGCCCTTCCTGTGCAGAATCAGCAAGGTTCTCTCCTAGCATCATCATAGACCGTATCCTCCTCCATCCCCTTTCTCACAAGTTTTCCTGCAGAAGGAACAACAGCAGGTTGGACCTGTCTGGGTAGATGTGAATACACAAAAGGCAATTCCCCTAAACTGCCAGCAGGTGGCTGAAGAGCTTGTGGTATTACTAAAGCAAAGGCGGAATCCCCTCATTTACTATATGCTGATCTAGAATCCTCCCAAAATTTACCGTTTATGCTGCTCTCTCCATGCCTTCAACTCAGCAAAGACATCTTCACGGCTCTGGACCTCACCTTCTCCAGAATCATAGGAATGTTCCACCCTGTGACCATGCAGCTTGAATGGGTTTGTTGCTAAAGGCTATGCAATACAAGGAAAAAACATAGTTACCATAGATGCTCTGATTCTTTTGCTATTTATTGCTCTTGACAAGCAACCGAGTCAGTTCTCAAGCTCTGGGCTTCTAAACTTGATAAACAACTATTTTCTTCATTCTGATTTTCTTTAAAAAGTACTGTGCTTGCTTACAAACCCGTTCATGATACCTGCTTATTTTAGATTCAAACTAGAAAACCCAGTACTGCTGTGATTCCACGAGAGTAATGATTTTGGTCCCTTGGATATGTAGGTCCAGGTTTAAGCCAATCTACACCTACAATAGCTACCATGCTAAACATGTCAGGCTGGGACTGACCATACAGCCTTCCATTATGGCTCCCTTACACTTTTGGCATTTCGACACACTGGATTTCAAGCTGATTGTTCTAATATATCTCAGAAAACTTTCACTGCTTGGGTGCAACACAGCAGAGCAGAGATGCCTTCACTTTAACTAGTGCCTTTTCCAGTACTTTTTGTCATGGGTAATATGTCAAATTACACATTGCAGCGACAGGTATTTCACATAAGTGATGCATCCCCCATTCAGCAGGGTCCACTGAGAGTTAAGCACATGCTTTCCTACTGTGCAAAGCTGAGGTCCTACACCAACATGTGTCACCTATATATTGAGTAGTATCTTCCTCTGCCAGGCCCCCTACTGAACTCAACAGGACAACTTGCAGGAGCAAGGTTTTCCCGGGACAGGTGGAAGGGCAATGCAAGCTGGCCTCCTCTTTGTTTTGTAAATATGAACTGAGCCTGGTTCATTGATATGCTAAATATGTATAGTAATGTTAAAAGGACACAGAAGAGCAGAGTTTTAAACTACAGCACATATGCAAAAAGAACCAAGCACTGCAGCCCTTCCTTGTGCTTTGCTCAAGCCCCCCTAAATCCACGTAAGTTTTGTGAGTGTGGAATTCAGAATCTGCCCCCCATTTTCCATTTGTTCTCTTTGAGTCCACTGTTTCCAACTCCCTCTAGGGAAGATAACAGCTCTCCCTACTGGGGCTCTCTCTCCTCTCTTCCTTAGCTAAGATGGGTCCTGATACCCAATAGCATTTTTGTTAAATGACACAATGGCTCAACATCTAATTGAGAGGAGGTATCAAGTGGGGTCCCCCAGGTGTCTATCCTAGGCATAGGTGCTGACTTTGGTTTTTGCTGGTGGGTGTTTGCAGACATAAACAAAAAGTGGCGCTTTATGTTAAATGTGGCACATTCCTGCACCAAGCCCCGTGCATGCCCAGAAGAGGCAGCATGGTACTTCTACCCAGCTCTCCAGTGTCTGTAAAGATAGGGCGCTTTAGTCAGGCTTTTATCTAATAACCAATTGAATCAACTTTAGCTGAAAGCCCCCAAAAGCCCTGTTGAAGTGCCCAATCTTTACAGATGCTACAGAGCTGGGTTTAAGTAACATGCTGCTTCTTCAGGTAAAGTGCAGGGTGTTTGTTTTTTTTTAATGTCAAAACCAAAATGGCTGTAGCTTGGGGGTGATGAGCATTCGCTAAGTTTTTTCAGTAGGTTTTTGAGCCCTGGAGCACTCACGGAGTCGGTGCCTATGATCCTAGGTTTGATACTGTTTAATACCTTCATTAATTATTTGGATGATGGTATTGAATGCATGCTTAGCAACTTTGTGGATGACACCAAGTTGGCTGGAGTTATAGATACTTCAGGGAGTAGAGCTAGGCTTTAGTCTATCCTAGTCATTCTGGATATGTGGCCTGCAATCAATCAGATGAGACTCAACAAGGACAAGGGCAAAGTTCTGCTCCTAGGATGGAATAACTGCACGTACAAATACAGACTGGGAAATGAGTGGCTAGGCTGCAGCAGTGCAGACAAAGACCTGAGGGTTACAGTAGACCACAGGCTGAATATAAGCTGGTAGTGTGCTTTTGTTGTAAAAGAAGTCAACAGCATACTGCCTTGTATTAATAGGAATTTCACTTGCAAATCAAGGGAAGTGATTTTTCCTTTCCATTCAGCACATGTGAGGCATCACCCTGAAGTACTATGTCCCGTTTTAGGCCCCGCACTTCAAGAAAGATGTGGACAGGTTGGAAAGAGTCCAGTGCAGGGCAACAAAAATTATTAGGAACCGGAGAGGAAAGTCATGAGGAAAGGCTGAAAGAACAAGGGTCACTTAGTCTGGAGAAGTGAAGGCTGTGGGTTGATTTGACACAGAATTCAAAGACTTAAAGGATGATTATAGAGAGGTTGGTGATGAGCTTTTTTCTGTGGCTGGAGGGGACAGAGCTAGGAGCAATGGTCTTAAACTGCAGCAGGGGAAATTTAGACTGGAGATTAAGAGGTTCTTTCCCACTATGAGGGTGATCAGGCATTGGAACAGGCTACGTAGGGAATCTCCATGCTTGGAAACTTTCAAAAGCAGATTAAACAGAAACTTGGCTGGGATGGTTTAGTCAGGGCTGTTCCTTCCTTGAGCAGGGGACCTCATGAGGTCCCTTCCAGCCCTACTTTCCTATGTTCCTATGTTTTGAGTTTCTGGAGTAATTTTTTTTCCCTGTGGCTCTCTCCAATCCATCTCTGAACAGGAAGCTGGGAAATCTCAGCATCATACCCCATTCACCACTCTGTTTGCTCATTTTTTTCCAGCTCTTCAGCTTCCTCTGCTGTCTTCCTACACACCTCCTGCGGCTTTCCATGCTCCCTCACTCCTCTTTATAACTGGGGTCCCTCAAATATGTGTTGCATGTTTTGCTGAATCAAGGCCATGGAACTTCTGCCTTTTGCAAAACTCACTGGTTCAGTTTATGGTTTCTTTTTTGGACTGTAGAATGGTGTGGAAATCTAGGAAGTACCATCATGGTCTCCGGTTAGCATAAAGGTAATTTTGTCTGGGTCTATCAGACAAGTGTGCAAGGTATAGAAGAAAGAAATATAAAGAATAGAAGGAAAAAAACATACACCTAGCTTTTGTCTCCGTGCATGAAGGGCCTTGATAGGGTTCCCGCATATCACTTGGCTGATTCCTAGCAAAAAAGGAAACAAAATAAGGCATTTCTCTCCAGCTTTTAACAATTTATACAGAACATCTGTTTGTAACTGTGGTGAGATCCGGTTCTCAAGAACGTTGTATGTTTCATTCATGAACTGCCTGGACCTACTCTGGATGTGAAGTATCATATACTCCCAGTGTGCTTTACTGGACCTGGCTTTGCTGGATCACCAGGTAAGGCAGAGCA